CCGCTAGGCCGCCAGCCTGCGAAGGACGCACCCGCAGCGTGCCCCGGTCGCGACACCACTTCGAGCCACCCCGCGGACCTCCTACCTCCCTGCAGCACGAACGGAGGGACGCCCAGCGCAGCCCTCCCCGCCCGTCAAGGGCACGCCCGCCGTCACTTCCTCAGGGGAGGGAGGCCTTAGCGTCACTTCCGGGGGCAGGCGACCAGGAGCGGGTCTCTCCGCAACCTGAGGGGCGGGACGGGTTTTTCGCCAATGCGGATGGCGGGAGAAGGAGCAGCTGAAGGGGTGGAGCCTCGGTTAGGGATGGGGAGGCGGGCGGGCCCTCGGGTTGGTGGGACGGACAGGAAGAAGTGGGCGGGCCCTGGGAAAGGAACCGGAAAAGGAGGTGAAAGGAGGCAGGGGCGTGCGGGAGGCGTGGCTGTGTGCTTCTCAAGCGCCTGCTGCTTTGCTGCTCAGCCGGCACCGCCCACCTCCCTAGCGCGTCTCCCAACGACCCCAGGAGGTGCTGGGAGGTTCTTTCTCTCCATTTTACAAATGAGGAAGCAAAGCTCCTCAGAGGCGTAGAGCCCTGTAGAGGCAGATGACTCTGCCCGGCGTCAAGATACTGCTTTGTGGCCCTGTCTTACGCAGAACTGTATGACTTCATGGTTTTGAGCAAGTCGTTCTGCCCCTGGGGGTTTAAGTTTCCCATTATGTGTCATGACTGGCCGGGCTTGTCGTTCTCCCAGACCTTTCAAGCTTGTCTCTTTAGAGTTGTTGGGGAACTGGGCCCTCGAAGGGCCTGTGTTTGAGGCAGCAGGCAAGGTGAGGTGACTTGTGATGCTGCGTGGGCCAGGGACCTTCCTTTCACACCCATTTCCACCGTCATAAACAGAGGTCTAGGCATATGTGTGTCCCAGACTGGTGTCACAGCCACCTCTTGTCTCCTCTGCACCATGTACCTTATATTCCAGCCACTCATGGGCCTCTTAGAATTCTATGAGCACCCCCTTTCCTCTTCCACGCCTTTGCTTAATTTGAAATGTTTTTTCTCTCTCCACTTAGTAGAACACCTACTCATCACCTCTTCTCTGAGCAGCATTACTCCCTTCTTAGTGCTTTGTTTGTAACTCTTCATAACGCATTGCGGTGTCTATCGCTTCCACAAGGCAGTGTGCTTCCTGAGAGTAGGGATTTGTGGCTTTTATTCATCTCCGCATGCACAGCACCAACCTGGTACAGTGCCTGGCTCACAGAGGATGTTCGATAGGTGCCTATTAAACTGAGTATCTTTGGTAGCTCAGGGAGTGGTTTACAAAGAGGTTACATGACTTGTGCAATGTCAAGAAGCAGATCTAACACCTCCGTTTCAACCTACATTCCAGCCAGAGAAAATTCCTTAGTTCCAGGGTTTGCTGAAATGTCTTTCCCGTCCTTGTGTTTGCAGTTACTTCTGCCTGTGACTGGATGGCTTTTCCCTCTACTCTCCAGCTGAGAAAATGCTCCTAGATACCAGACTAGGCATCATCTCTGGTGATCCTTCCCTGGGCCTCCTTGAGTAGGGGTATGTGTCCTCTGTGCTTCTATCAGTCACCACACTCAGTACTCTGTATTGTTATTGTCTGTTTATTATACTGTCAGTCCTTACTATACTGTTAGTCCCTGAGAGTCTCTGTCTCTCCATTACTTACCTCAGGGCTTGATGCATCATAGAAGGTCCTCAGTGATTATTTGTTCCATGAACAGAGAGCAGCAACACAAATACAATCTTTTGACTGCAAATCCCATTTTCCCCATCACTTCAGATGGACCCATTGTGCTCTTCCAAAACCACTGCCATGTCTTCTTCCAGCTCATCTTGGCTCTGTCATGCTGTTATTTGTCCTCTGTCCAATTGGCAGGTTCACAGTGTTGTTCAGGGCTCTTCCTCTGGGATAGGGTGAGGAAATCCTTGGAACAGGTCCACTTGCCCATGGCCACCAGCTGCCATGTCAGCCTCCCACTTAGTAGAGCCCTTTGTGCATCACAGGCAGGAGTCTAGGTAAGGGCATGCATGGATAGGCATGGCCTTTCAACCATGTCTGACCTCTTGCCTTAGCCTCTGCCCCCGCCTAGGACTGGAGCCCAGAGTTCAGTATCCCTGGCTCCCCCTAAGGGCAGCCTCCCTCGGTGCAGCTGTTCCTGATAATGCCATATGCCATCTGGCAGGAGTACACCCACCTGCCCATTTCATATCTGCTTTTCTGTGTCTCCAGCACTTTCTCTTCTGCAGCCACTTATCAATCCTGTTCAGCATTTCCACAGCATTTTATGGAGAGCCAATTTCCCTGCTTAATTCACATTCTGAATTCCAAAGGAAAACCAGTCTTGTTAATCCTTATTTCTTAGTCACTTCACCTCTCTTGGCCTCAGACTTCTCATCTGAGAAATGGGAAGAATAACGCCTTCATAGAGGGGCTGTGAGGTTGCAGGAAAGATGGAAACTACGTTGTGTGTTAGTGCCTCATGACTGCTGGAATCCTTCTCTTCTGCAGAGAGAGAGCCTGTGAACCACATGGAGAAGGCTGAGTTCTCAGCAGCCTACAGAGGGGCTCCTCAGCTATGTGGTTGCTTCTCTGGGTCTATCTCAGTCACAAGGCAGGCTCAGGGCACATGTGTGAGATGAAGGGAAGGAGGCCAGGCCTAACCCCCTGGGCTAAGGATACCTCTTACCAATATTTATAGCTGTGTTTTTCAGACTGCAGGATGTGAGCTATCAGTGAGGTTGTGAAATCAATTAGTGGGTTGTGATCAGCTTTTTTTTTTTTTTTTTTTTTTTTTGAGACCGGTGCTCAGCCAGTGAGTGCACAGTCACCGGTCATCCCTATATAGGATCCGAACCCGCAGCAGGAGTGCTGCTGCGCTCCCAGCGCTGCACTCTCCCAAGTTCGCCACGGGCTCAGCCTGTGATCAGCTTTTTAAAACACAAACAGAATAGAATTGAAAACATCAGAGTATGCCGTGTGTTATAAATATTGTTTTGTGAAACATTTGTTGCTATTATGTATATATGTCTGCATGTCCTAGGTTGTGATATGTCTGCATGTCCTAGGTTATTTGTATATCTTGCTGTGGGTCATGGTCAAAAAAAAATAATATATAAGTTTGAAAGCTCCAGATATATTGAAGAATTACCAAACAGCTGGCACCGTTCTAAGCACCCTACATGTATCAACTCATTGAATCCTATAATCCTATGAGGCTGGTACTGTTATAGCTTCCATCTTACAGATGAGGAAACTGAGGCATATAGAGGTTAAGTAGCTTGTCCAGGTATCCTGATAGTGGGAGGTAGAATCTTAAAAGTGCTATACTGCCCCTAGCAAGCATCCGTCTTGGTTATAGACTGCTGCTGCCTCCTCTCCCAGCCCCCAGCGACCAGCCAGCCAGTGTAAGCCATTGGAGGACAAGGGGCAGGGCTCCACCCTGGGAGGCCACTGCTGGCTGGCAGGGTTGGCAGCAGTGGTCTCAACAGCGGCTGTAAGCAGAGGCGCCCACAAGATGGCACTGTGGTTCTTGCAGCCTCCTCCGCTGCAGGACCTGGGAAGCTGGGCTCATCCCTGGGGCTTTCCCTTAGGTCTGCAGGGCTGGATGCAGGGGACAGGGCCCGGGGACAGTTGCACTCAGGACCGTGTGTCCAAAGACATCACGACTGGAGGGAGGCACCTTGAGGGAAAAAAACAGAGAGAGGTGGTGGGCCACGGATTAAATCGATAGTGAGTTTCTCTCCGAATGGCAGTGTTCCTCTAGTATCTTTGTTTTGTTTCCATCTTGATGCTATTTTTTTTTTTTTACACTCTTGCAGAACAATTGGAACTGTGACTTATGTTTCGCAATTCAAGGAGCTGGTTTGATGTTCTGTTGTGATTCATGTTCTGTCATCTTTCCAGCGATTGATTACACAGTGTCCTCTTGAATGTCATGGCTGTGATGTGGGTGAGCATGCGCTGCCACGCTCTTCAACCCCTTAACGCAAGGCCAGTGCCCTCAGTAGACACAGACAGGCTGGGGCACTGGGCTGGTTCCATAGTTAGGGTGAAGCTCCTCACGTGTTACTTCCCATTCAGGACTGGTGGCACAGATTCTTCTTGTCAGAGCAAAGCCTGCAGCTGCAAGGGGCTGGGGAAGGAATCAGGGCCCTTCTTCCTGCCTCCCTTACCCTCTGACAGTGTTTCTGCTCTCTGTCCTGGACAGGAGGCAGCTGTGGGGCAGAGAAGTGAGCCCTGGGCCCAGAATTGAAACTACTTCTTCACCAGGCTCTGCCTCTAACCCAGTGAGTGACCTTAGGCAGATCGATTAACCTTTCTGGCCTTGTTCCTCATCTGTATGAGGCTCTAACAATGTTGTCTCTATAGAAAAGTTAGGAAGCTTCGTAATAATGAAACGATGGCCAGCACATCTGTGGTTCTTACCACATGCTCACGCTGTTCCAGCACTTTATGTGTTTTAATTCATAGTAAGTGGAGTACTATTATTAATCCTGTTTTACAGATGAGAGAAACTGAGGACCCAAGAGAGTAAATAAATTACCCTAGATCATGAATCAAGCAAGTGGCAGAGCTGGGACTCAAACCCAGGAAGACTGACCCCAGAAAGTATGTCCTCAACAATTCAGCTCTATTGTGTCTTTAATATTATCTGTAGGGTTGGCCCATGGCTCACTCGGGAGAGTGTGGTGCAGGTAACACCAAGGCCATGGGCTCGGATCCCGTATAGGGATGGCCGGTTAGCTCACTGGGTGAGCGTGGTGCTGACAACACCAGGTCAAGGGTTAAGATCCCCTTACCAGTCATCTGGACTGGGTGAGCGTGGTGCTGACAACACCAAGTCAAGGGTTAAGATCCCCTTACCAGTCATCTGGAAAAAAAAAAAATTATCTGTAGATGAGAGTTAACACGTACAAAAGCCTTTGAATAGGTACATCTTAATGTAAATTTAGTCTTATTATAAGCTTTTTCTCTTGTGTAAGTCAGGACTCTTCAGTAGTTGTTAGGAACCAACTCAAAACCAGCTCGTGAAAAGGGACTTACTAGCTCATATAACTGTCATGTTCAAGGATGCAGCTAGTGTAGGCAAGACAGGATCCAGGGGCTCAGATACTGCTGTAGAGCTCTGTGGGGCTTTCTAACACTTGTTTTATTTTTCTTGGCATGTTGGTATCATTCTCCATGTGGTTGGAGAGATGGCTACTGCCAGTCACAA